AAATACCATAAATCAGAAAAGGTTTACTGTTCGTTAGTTTGGTTCAAAACCTACCAAATCTTCATTGCTTTCACTGTAATTTATTTTTTTTATTATTTAGGGAGCATTATAAATAGTTATCTTTTTAAAAGAAGAAAAAACTACCATTGTTATAAATAACACATTCAATTGAACAAAACTATGCATGCATATTTAAATATATTTACACATGGCTTGTGTATATCGTATATATACATATATATATTATTCATACCTTCGGTGTATAGGACACAAGGAGATTTTGACATCAAATTTTGGGGTAAAAAAGTGCGTCTTATACACCGAAAAATACGCTAAGTTGTTCTATTACAGTTTATGAAATGTTCAAGGTGATTATTACGTACTTTACTTTTGAAATTAGCATAAATTATGGGTTTCCATGGTTGTTTGTGTTTTTTGTTTATGAAGAAAATATAAATATTCATGTTTTTGAAAAATTAACTTGTCTTCCCATTCTAAGTATGATTTGTGACTCTCATGCCTGACCACCCTACTGTCAGGTAGATTCAGTGTACAATTTTATCGAGAATATTAAGTTTAATGCAGAGCATAATTATTGCCTCTACAAGTTTGTTGATGTTTATGAGTGTGGACTTTGCATGCTTGATTTTGGGGTGAATGTTGACAGAATACTTTTCGAAAGATGGACCTTTCTTCTTCGGGGCAAACTAGGCTATGACCACTTCTCTTCCCAAATCTGTCCAATTTCTGATAATTCACTCCAGTACTAATCAACTGAAACTATCAGATAAGACTGCTGAAAACTGTTTCTCAGAACTTGAAAACACAATAGCGCATATCTTCAGCCTCAGACCACACATTAAACTGGCTATCTCTAGTGAAATCTACAGACATATCAACAGACACACTTCCTCTGATTGCAATATACAAAACAGCACAATAAAATTCAATATTTTAATGAATTAACCAAACACCTCTGCCAACTTTCCTTCATTAACCAGCCCAATTTGCCCTTCAAGAAGAAAGGTCCATCTTTCAAAAGTGCTCGGGTTTATAGGGTTTTTATCATCTTGTGTCAAGACTTATTGAACCTACCTATTTTTCTGACATCAAGAATACTTTTTGTACGTTAGGCCTTTGTCAACATCATTTGTCCACAATGAACCCTGTACAGTAATCTTTGTGGGAATTGCTATATAACTTACTGATTCATATTTTATTATAGTGACAATGAAAAATGATTCTATCTGGGACGTACCAGTTTGATGGGACCTAGGGAACATTAAAATATGCACAAAAAAAGCAGTATGATAATGATCTTTTAAGAAAGTACTGATACAAGACGTAAAAATGTAACATAAAAATTATTAAAACTAAATACATCATCTAGAGTAGGATATACGTTAGTGACTTCAGAAAATGGTCAGATAATTGGTAAATAATATTTTTTTTAAATATGATAATCTGTTGGTTTATCTTACCCATGTAATCTGAGGTACAAAGTTAAAAAGAACATTCCTGGATCTACCTGTTGACAGACACTTAAGAGGTCTATCGAACATACAAAATAGAAGGGTACAGTTTGAACATCTACTGAATTGATTTTTTGTCATTTTCTACTATACACAGGAAAATCAGGTAAAATAAATAATTAGAAGTTTACAAGAGAGAGATGTAGTCAGATTTTCACACCTTAGAAATATTACCAGTAGCAGAATATACAATGAAGGTGGATATCACCAATTAACAAAAAAAGAGAGAGTAAAACTAGAAGACTGGAAAACCAAAAATTGCATTTATGATGTAGATAGAAAAACTGAAACTCAGTCACCATTAATGATTATCTGTCACAGACATATGATGTAACATTCTTTTTATCAAAAATACATACCAGTTCTACTTGGAAAATTATGCAAACCAATCTATTAGTAGGATTAGTGCTTGAAATCTAACTAAAATACATACACCTGGATTTGTAACGAACACAAGGAATATGAAACTGAAGTGTCATTTCAATCAAGATAAGCAAAATTCACAAAATAGTAGAACTGAGAAAATGTGGAATATATGTTGTGTTGCACATAGAAAGTTGTATTAAATATGTACAAGATGGTCTCTGTAAAGAAGTGTGTGTTCAGTGTATGTGTAACAGGTGCATTCTGTGTCATTTGACACACGTAATTGTTAGATGTTTGTTTGTTATGGATTTCACATAAAGCTACACAAGGGCTATCTGCACTAGCCATCCCTAATTTAGCAATGTAAGACTGGAGGGAAGACAGCTAGTCATCACCACCCACCACCAGCTCTTGGGCTAATCTTTTACCAATGGATACTGGGATTGACTGTCACATTATAATGCCCCCATGGCTGAAAGGGTAAGCATGTTTGGTGTGATGGGGATTCGAAACCGCAGATTGCGAGTCGAGCGTCCTAACCACCTGGCCATGCCGGGCCTGTAATTGTTAGATTTTTCTATTAAAGCAAAATTCTT